CAAAGCAACCTGGGTTTGACAGTGATATATGATGAAGCTGCAAAAGAGGGCAGAAATTCGACACGGGTATGGTGTCGAGACATAATATTGGTGTCGAAATCATATGCTAACCAGCCAAAACTCTGACACGAACGGGGTGCCGACACATAATTCAGGGGTCGATACTATACAAAAGGCTTTTCTACTCATGTAATATGAAGCCTTTTAAGATATAATGTTTATGAGTTTGGGGTACCCCTTGTACTCCGTTTATTAATAAATATTATTTTTGCTGTTAAAAATATATATATATATATATTTCAAATATCAATCAGTAAAAAAAAAAAATTAAATAAATAAAACCTAAATCACCTACAATTGAAAAAATCAACTCAATAGTTATTTCAGACAGTAGGAAGCAGTTTTTATATATTTTGGTTGCATCCAATTTACAAGGTAAAATATTTTTTAGCTGTTTCATAGAAAAGCAGCAATTTTTAGAAGATTGTAGATGTGATATGTACAAAAAAATGTAGAGTGATTAGAGGCATAAATGCATACCTTAGACTTAGCTTTACTTCTTCTTCTTTTGTTTGAGCAAACAGGAACTAGAGGATTTAACAAGAGAAAAATGGGATAAAAAAGAGGAAGAGTCTGATGTTGGAAAAGATGAAAGAGGGTGCCGAAGACGGGGTGAGTTTGGAACGGAAGAGATAGTTGCAGTGTTTGCAAAGGATCAGGCTCTTGGGAAAGGTTGAGAGTGATGAGAATAAGAGTAAAGGAAGAAATGGTAAAAAGTTGTATATAGATATACACAGTACCAAAATCAATGGATTCTGGTCCAGAGAAGGCTCAAATTTACCCTCCAATTGCCTTCACAATTGGCATCCAGTGAAGGGCTTTTTTGACTTTCACCTTGACCCACTACTTAGATGGAGAGTGAGATAAGATTAGAGAATAAAGAAACAGTCCCATAGAAAATATGGCAAAAAAAGGAAAAAAAAAAAAGAATGAAAACAATTGGAGGACCTTCTCTGTTTCTTTATTCTTCCTTTCATTTTTTTTCTTGGGCAAAAGCATTTGGCATCCAATGAAGGGCTTTTTGACTTGCACCATGATCCATTACCCTAGGAATTAGAATGGAGGGTGAGATGAGAGTAAAGAATAAAGAAAGAAACGTAAGCACGTGGCAAAGAAAAAGAAGAAAATGGAGAGTGGTTCATAGAAAGTGCAACCTTGCCTTCCATTTGCTTTCTCAATTGGCATCTAATGAAAAGGCATTTGGTCACCGGTACCCACTATCTTATGAAGAAAATGGAGAGTGGTTCATAGAAAGTGCCAACCTTGCCTTCCATTTGCTTTCTCAATTGGCATCTAATGAAAAGGCATTTGGTCACCGGCACCCACTATCTTATTAAGAAAATGGAGAGTGGTTCATAGAAAGTGCCAACTTTGCCATATTGGTCACTGGCACCCACTATCTTATAAAGAGTGGATAAGAGTAAAGAATTGTTGAAGTATGTTTCCTTGTGAGTGTGAGGAAACTAAAGATCCCATATCGAAAAAATATAAAAAGAAATAGTGGTTTATATATGTGAAGACCCATGAAACTAATAGATTAGTCTTTTGATTCCAATGTGGTATCAAAACATGTAATAAACTACGGTTTAGTCAAAGGAACAAAAGATGAATCCTAGAGAGAGAAAACCAGAGAGATACCCGAACCTGTACCCCACCCCTTCCCCGGTTGATCTCAGGCCACGGAGAAAGGACCTAACCTATCCAGAGAGTCACCCAGTGAGGGAGAGACCAACCCGAACAACCCAACCCCAACCATACCCTCAGAGAAGTACACTGCAGGGACGAGGGAGGACAGATCGAGAGGACTGGGCGAGAGGACAACGAAGACCTTCTTTCGGTTATGGAAAGGGTGTGCTGGAAAGAGCTACTCCCTTTTTCTTTACCAACTTTCCGGAGGATTGGGAGATGGGAGATATGTGGAGAGTGTTCATCAAGTTTGGGAGAGTGATTCAAGTGTTCATAGCAAAGAAAAGGGATCGAAAAGGCAGACGTTTCGGATTTGTAAGATTCTTGGATCTTAAGGATACCAAGGCAGTGGAATATCAACTGAATCAGATTCAGTTTGGGCAACAAACACTACAAGCAAACCTTGCAAGGTTCTCTATGGACGATGCCCACAAGAGAAGGGAGGAAAATAAGGCACACGAGGATCTGCATCAAAGGAACATAGGTGTAAAGGAAGTTCAGAAAGATAGATCCCGATCGTATGCAGATGTGGTAAAATCGAAACAAGGAGGGACAGAAAGAATGACAAGACCACACTGGGAATGGAAATCGTCAAAACAGGAAGGAGCAAAAAAGACAGAAGGCGAACAATGGTATGGGATAGAAGTGAAAGCAGAGGATGAAGACATCAGAAGGTTGGAGAACAGCTTTGTCGGACAATCAAAGTGTCCAGAAATCATCAGCACATTACAAGACAAATTTGCAATGGAAGGCTATTTCTCAGCTAAGATCACTCCAATGGGGGGTAACTTGGTTTTGATATCAAGTGAGGATGAAGAGGAACTCAAATATCTAGTCAGGGAAGGTCGGGATTGGTTATCACAATGGTTCACAGACATCAGACCATGGACGCCAGAGGAGGTTGCAGCTGAGAGATTTACATGGCTTAGATGCCAAGGAGTGCCACTGCACATTTGGAAGAGTAACTTCTTCGAAACAGTTGCATGCATGTTTGGGAAATTTGTATCGTTGGATGGGAGCACAATCAAAAAGTCTAGGTTAGATGTAGCAAAAGTGTTGATTCTAACACCGCTGCAGGAAAACATCAACAAGACTTTGAAGATTAAAGTAAAAAATCGATTCTTTCAAGTTAGAATCAGTGAGGAAGTAGGAGTGGATAATATATTTACACTTCAATCAGACTTCAATCTCTGTAGAAATGATGATTCCACTTCAGAATCCTGGTCTGAGGGATCAAACTGGGGTGTGGTAGAAGAGGAAGAAAGCTGGGATGACTGGGAAGTAGCCATCGAAAAGGCGGGATCAGAAAAGAATAACAGTGTTGAGCCAGGTCGGCCGGCGGAGCATTCACCGGAAGAGGAGAAATTTGAAAAAGTCTCAGAGACGTTAGAGCATTCTGAAGGAACAATTAATGCAAGGCGGCGAATTTCAAATCAACAGAAGGGTGAAAGTCTCGAGGAGAATGGGGTGACAGTGCAATGGATAACTGAGCCAAATTTAAGAAGGAAACAGAACCAGCAAACGACAGAGGAGGTGGAAGAAAACACATCCCACGTGGGCTCATGCCCCCCGGGTTTTAGCCCAAAAAATAGGAAATTGAGCCCAATCATCCCAAAAGGCCCAATAGGACAACCTAAAAACAGCCATTCAAGGGCACTCCACGAAGGAAGAATCCAAAGTCGGACTCAGGACCAGAAGAAAGAGAAAGAAGTATCTGGAGAAGGCAACCGAGTGGGAGAGCATGACAGCGAGAAGGGAGATTCAAACCACAAAGCAAAGCTGGTCTCACTACAATCCGGAAAGATCAGCAACGATGACACCATCGAGGAAGAAAGAAGAACTCAGCCTTTTTGGGAAGGATTGGCAAGTGATGATGAGATCCTTCAATCTAGGGTGGAGAGGTTTGCTCATCAGAGAAAAATGGAGAAGAAAAAGGTGAGAATAAGAAAATTAGCAAGGAAGAAAGCACAACTAAAGTTCAATTCAGATTTGAAGGGCAAAAATAAGAAAAGCATTAACGGAGAAGAGTCTCAAGCAACGTGTTGTCAAACCGGAGCAAATCGAAAAACAGAGCACAATTGGGGAAAGGAAACAGAAGAAATATGGAGGATAGGGAAGCAATTAGGCCTTACAGAAAAGAGTAATGAGGGGGAAATCTTGGAGAAATTGTGTGAAATGGAGAGGAGGGATAGAATTGCAATAGCAAAACAGAGAGTGACAAAAGCTGAGAAAAAAGGAGTCAAGCCAGTAGATTAATGAAGATCCTGTCACTGAATGTTAGGGGGTTGGGGAAGAGCAGTAAAAGAAGAGCAGTAAGGGAGTTGATTAAGAGAGAAAAGGTAGATATGATCCTCATTCAAGAAACAAAACTGGAGAGTTGTAGTGATAGATTGGTGTACTCAATCTGGGGGTCTGAAAATTGTGGATGGGTGATGAAAGCAGCACAGGGCAGTGCAGGAGGACTAATATGCATATGGAACACCAAAATCTTCACAATGAACAAGGAGTTGGAAGGGCCAGGTTTCTGCGGTATGTTTGGATTTTGGGGTGCTGATCGGATCCCATGCTCTTTTGTAAATATTTACTCCTCATGTTATAAACAAGAGAAAAGGCTGATGAGGACAGAATTACAAAGCCTAATAAAAAACTCTGGAGGAGGAAACTGGTGCTTGGCAGGTGATTTTAATGCAATAAGGAGCAGTGAAGAGAAAAAGGGCAAATGGTATGACCCTGTAGATATGTGTGAGTTTAACAAATTCATTTTGGAGACAGGGCTTATGGAGATTCCACTCATTGGCAGAAAATTCACATGGTACAAATCTGATGGCACTGCAATGAGTAAGTTAGACAGATTTTTATTGTCACATGAATTCATTTTATGCTTCCCGGACATTACACAGAGGGGTCTAAGAAGGGATATCTCAGACCATTGCCCAATATTTCTGAAAAGCACAACTGTCGACTGGGGCCCAAAACCATTTCGCTGTCTTGACTGCTGGTGGAATCATGAGGACTTTGCTAAATTTGTACAGGACAGATGGAATAACATGACAGTTAAAGGTTGGGGGTGCTACAGACTAAAAGAAAAATTGAAATTGTTAAAGGTTGAGTTGAAGAGATGGAACAGAGATGTGTTCGGAGCTATTGACAGTAACATAGAAAGGGCAAAAGAAGAAATAAGAGCACTAGATGAGAAAGGGGAAGCAGACACACTCTCAGACACAGAGATAAAGAGAAGACAGGAGGTTTTCCACAACTTATGGGAGTGGAATGATGCAAGAGATAGTCTATTCCAACAGAAATCAAGACACAAATGGCTAAAGGAAGGGGATGCAAATAGCAAGTACTTTCACTCTTGTGTGGTACAAAGGAGAAAACAAAACGGGATTGAGGGTGTTCTAATTAATGACGAATGGGTAGAAGATGTGAAGGAAGTCAAGAAGTTTATCCAGGATTATTTCAAAGGAAAGTTCAAAGAAGACAGTTGGGAAAGACCAGAATGGAGACTGGACAACTTCAAAAAGCTTTCAAGAGAGGAAAACAATTCACTTGTGGCTCCTTTCACAGAAGAGGAAATACGGGAAGCAGTATGGGGGTGTAATGGAAGCAAAAGCCCAGGACCAGATGGCTTTAATTTCAATTTCATTAAGAGAATGTGGCCAGCACTAAAAAAGGACATATGTGACTATGTGACAGAATTTCACACAAACGGCAAGTTAGCTAAGGGGAGTAATGCCTCATTCATTGTTCTAATCCCAAAAAAGGAGGACCCTCAAAATCTGGGAGAATACAGACCAATCTCCCTTATCGGCTGCATCTATAAAATCATTGCTAAAATACTAGCAAACAGATTAAAGAAAGTGATGGGCCTTCTAATCGGCCCCCACCAATCAGCATTTATTGAAGGCAGGCAAATCACTGATGGCATTATCATACTTAATGAGATGGTTGATGAAGCCAAGAACAGCAAAAAGCCGATCTTGATCTTCAAAGCAGACTTTGAGAA